CATGTTCTCCCTGTGTCAGCGTGGGTTTCCTCCAGGTGCTCCAGCTTCCTCCCACAGTCCAAAGACATGCAGGTTAATTGGTGACTCTAAATTGTCAGTAGGTGTGAATGTGAGTGTGAATGGTTGTCTGTCTCTATGTGTCAGCCCTGTGATAGTCTGGTGACCTGTCCAGGGTGAACCCTGCCTCTCACCCAGTGACAGCTAGGATGTCCTTCAGCTCCCTCGCGAGCCCGTTCCAGGATAAACAGTTATGGAAATGAATGAATGAAACTCAGAAACTGTGGAGACACTGGAGAATGAAATAAATCAGTAATGTTAACAGGAGACAGCAGCAGAGATCTGGGATGAATAAGACAAATATGTACAAGGAAATTATGCTGCCTGTGGATGTTTTTCTTGTGAAGACACTTCGTTTTACGTACTTTAGTAAAAATGATGAATGAAGTTTTTACTTTATGTTAAGAGCTGCTAAAAGACACTAATCAGACCTCTGGAGCTTGTTAGTGATTTTCAATTTTAGTTGTGTAACTGCTTCAGGGAATGAGAAAATAAAACCTTTAAAGAAATCTTATCACATTGTCGCTCAATAACAGACAGGACTCTGCAGTTAAAATTAACTTATTAATTACAAAAGGTGCAGTTAAAGTATAAAGACATTTAAGACATGTTGCCTCATAAGGAGAAAGGCTACAGAGTCTGTTGAGTTTGCTTAACAGGAGTGGTTTCTGATCTGCCTGAACTTGTTTTAAAATGTTCTGACGTAATACCACTAAAAACGTCACACGAGTTTAGAGTATGAGGTTGGACGACTGTCAGGGCTGCAGAAAGTTCGAGTGGTTTCTGTGTCGTCTCAGAGGGAAAATACATCAGGAATAACCAAAAAAACATGCAGAGTGCTTCCACATATAATATATTAAAGTGTTCAAATCATTTCTGAGAAGTTGTACGACGCCTTCACGCCTGAAGGTGTTGCATCAATAACGTGCACTCCTGATTTTGTAACAGTGGATGAGTTTAAAAGAGCCAATGAGCTGTCAGGGAAAGATTACATAACCTCACAACTTATTTCTGACTCATTTTCTCTCTTATTCTAAATAATACTTAAATCTGACTGTTCCAAAGTTCTTGAGGAAAAATTCCTAAATTCAGTTTTTAGGTATTCTGAGTGAGGTCCATAATTAAAATAAAAAGTAAAGTTGTCAAGATATTCTATAGTGCAGAAGAAGAGGATTGCAGTGGATGAATGTTCCCATCTGTCACTAATAAAGTGCTAGGGCTGCTATATGTGGTGACAGAGTGTCAGACTGAGTGTCAGACTTAAGTTCCCAGAGCCTTCAGTCTGACATTGCCTCCATTGAAGGCAATTTACAAGGGGGAGGGAATTTGATTTTTTCCCTAACCAATCAGTAGAGATCAATGACTCACCCAGAATCTGACGTCATTAGTATCCATACCTCGGGTGTGCCGAAAACAAGCGAGCATTGCCCGTTTAAAATGTCTCCGTCGTCCTGCACGCCCAGCTGCATCGCCATTAAATCCAGTTTAGCAGCTTCCTTAATTTGGTCCTCCATTAACGCGAGTAGTGGTGAAATACCTCGATAGCATCGTCAATGCGGTCTGTAGGATCTGCAGCGGTCGCCAT